TATTCACAATAATTCATATTGTAGTAGAGTAGGTAACAGAATTATTGAAAAGAAAATAAACAATTAAGAAAAAGAGCATTGAATAAACATATACATTAAACAAATAAGCAACAATATAAGCAGAAAGAAGAAATTGCAAGGTAGTTATTTACAGTATGTTAAGCAATGATGGAAGTTGATTTAATGAAGTTATCTGTAATAATTAGTATCGTGGAGAGAGAAAGGTTGATCAAGTTGAGCTATTTACAATGAGTTATATTCTAAAGTAATTTATTAATTATTTACATTGATGTAAATCAAGTTGCATAGTAGTGTAGTTCCTCAAGCTGCATGAGGCTGTCTGAATCACTTGTCTACTAAGTATAATAAAAAAAAGCATTATCCCTCCATATTAAAAATTTTGGAAATCAACTAATTTCATAATTTTTTTCAATAAAACATAAAAATAAACATAATTAAAAATAAATTATTTATCTTATACAAATATTGTTACAAGGTAAACATTCTTTCAGTACACATTACATAAATAAATTTTCAAATCAATATTTATTTCAAATATTTATTTAAACATGTAATTGTTTATTATAAAGGCTCAATGTTACTGAAGAAAGAGATCATTAGAAGAATGTAAATCTTTCATAAAATTGCCGGAGTCAAATATTAACCTAAAATAATAGCGAGTTTTGTGGAATTAAAAATGGAATTCGAGTAGATAATTATGTTTTAATCTTCTACGTAATTGTGCCCTGTTTGTTTAGTTTTTAATAAACTCACTTTTTTAAATTACAAATTGAAAAAATGTTATTTCCCATTATTTAAATGATTTTTATCCATTATTTATTTTTCTTTGGGATGTTTGTTATTTGATATTTAGCTAATATCCTTTGAACAGCTATGTGTAATGACTTATAGGATGAGATTGAATGTGTCTTTTATTGAATTTGTTATTTGATTTATTTAGAATGAACTAAGTGTATTTTAATCAATATTGAAATATATTTCAGCTAATTCCGTAGATTTCGAGGAATACCTTGTAGAAATATCATACATTGGAAGCTATTTTTTATCAACGAAGTATATACTTTTCAAACCATTGTCTAGGGGGTAGGTGGAAGGATGGTTTAAACCGTTGATTTTCGACTGTTACGACCCGGGTATGATTCCCGCATTGGACACTTTTTATTGATTGAAAAAATGCTCCAATGGCCCCTGATTCTTGCAAAAGCCCAACCCCGCCAGCGAGTACAAGTAACCAAACGTAGCTCTGACACATTTGTAAGTGCAAAGTCGAACTGCTTTTCGAATGTATAGACATGTGGTGCACTTACAGTAAAAGAAGTCGCCTATACTTCTACCCACCATGATTATCATAGTCTGAACCATGTGTACTAAGAATAAGCGAAAAAACCATTGTCTTCTGGTTTTTAGTTCCAAATTTGACAAAGGTAGTACGGTGGCTTTGTCATTGATACAAGACTGTTGGATTTATAGAAATAATATTTTCCTTATAAATAATAGAAAAACGGCTTCCAAATGTGTTTCTCATTTTATATTCTTCTCAAGCTTTCGAGTGTCATGAACCCTTCTACAGGAGTAGATGATCAATAAATCTTAATCATTTACATTTATTTTATCATATACTCATATACATATAAGATATTTTTTCATATACCCATATACATATACATATAATATATTGTTCGATTTTAAGGCAGCTTTGTAGCTGCTGATGAGATCAAGACGTCCCCTCGGAGAGGGCTCCGCCTGATGTGAATTCCCACTTCCAATCGGAAGACTGTAAATATTTCTTAACTCTTGATGGAGTGTAAATATTGACTAGTATGTCAATAAAGTCTGTTTTAATTGTCAATTGTCATATACATATAAGATATTTTATCATATACTCGTATACATATAAGATATTTTATCATATAATCATATACATAAAGATATTTTATCATATACTCATATACATATAAGATATTTATCATATACTCATATACATATAAGATATTTATCATATACTCATATACATATAAGATATTTATCATATACTCATATACATATAAGATATTTTATCATATACTCATATACATATAAGATATTTTATCATATACTCATATACATATAAGATATTTTGTCATATACTCATATACATATAAGATATTTATCATATACTCATATACATATAAGAAATTTTATCATATACTCATATACATATAAGATATTTTATCATATACTCATATACATATAAGATATTTTATCATATACTCATATACATATAAGATATTTTGTCATATACTCATATACATATAAGATATTTCATCATATACTCGTATACATATAAGATATTTTATCATATAATCATATACATAAAAGATATTTTATCATATACTCATATACATACAAGATATTTATCATATACTCATATACATATAAGATATTTTATCATATACTCATATACATATAAGATATTTATCATATACTCATATACATATAAGATATTTATCATATACTCATATACATATAAGATATTTATCATATACTCATATACATATAAGATATTTTATCATATAATCTTATAAAAGCGTTTGTGATACCCGGAAGCTTAAGATGAATACCAAATAAAACAAGAAATTCATTTTTGGAAGCTGTTTTGTTTATTGCTCATTTGTATTTCAGAGGATTTTACTTTTCCACGCACACATATATATATGTTATATTAAAATATTATTCCATTTAAAAATATATTTCATAGATACAAATACTGCTAAATCGACTGCCAGAGGTCATGCTTCCCCTATAAAAACTCGTTGTTGTTCTTCCCCGTTGGTCGGCTCAAAACCTTTGTACATTATGTAAATAATCTTTTGTTTTTCCTTGTTCTACCCGCCTTAAGCCAGGCAGTACTTTAATCAAATTATGTTCTTATATATTACTTTAACTCAATTAAAACAATCTCTTATCAAGACCATTTTTGTTGTTATACTTTCAAGATTTTAACCACGACTGCATTACCATAATCCTCAACATAATCAAAAATCAAGCAGAAAATCTATCTCATTCTCAAATATAACATATATATATATGATTATAAAAGAGGCATATATTATATTGAATTAAATATTTTTGCCAATATTTTATTCAATCCAATATATGCTTTTTTACTATCTAATGATTTGAGTATGGATTGCTCTATTTTCAGAACACAAATATATATTTTGAAAAAAGAGCAATCAATAAATATATCTTTAATTAAAAATGATTGAATAGAAATATATTGGATCAAATTTAACAAATATATCCCCTTTAGCCTGAAAATATAATTTTAAATTGTAGGGTATCTGGTAGTATAAAATGTATATTATGGGATATCTCGTATTTATAAACCCTCACATTGACAATAGTTTTTATTATAAAACTCAACGCTTCAATTGCTACAGAATTTTAAACAGATCCGTTCCCACCAGTGATAAAAATAAGACCAAACGAACCTCTGGTATCTCTTGGTATAAATAAAAAGCAATGATTGAGAGGATTATGAAAAGGAAACAATAACATGGGCACCATGACAAACTTAAATTCGAAATTCGTTTCCATTGTTGAGTTAGTGAGTTCCAAAATACCAATTATAGCAAAGTTTGTTAAATCAAAGGTTTTAACTAAGGATTAATTAAAGAGAGAAAAATGAATAGATTGGATCAATTAAACAAGAAAATCTCGCGAAGACTTTCTTTTATCGGACATTTTATATCATAAGTTTACTGAGATATCTCTCCTTTAACAGATCCAAACAAAGTTACATATCCTAAAGGTCATTATGCAAAAGGTCCGATTAAATAAGCGGTTATCTTGGTCGCGTTTTGTTTTTATAATGAATTCCGTTGATGATTATATTTTGAATCTATATATAATGTCCATTTTTAAGGCTACATGACCGATAAGCCGATAATATTTTGACTAAATCATTGTTTATTTTGTTTTAAATATGTATTTTAGCTTATCTACACTTATGGACAGAACATAAGGAAGTTGTACCTTTTAGCGTGTATATCGGGATTCAGACAATAACTCTACAAGATATTTTATACACATTTACCTTAATTGGAGACACTCGAGATAATCAAATGTGAAAAAATTGCCTCTGTCTACTTAAACAAAAAACAGGTGAAACTTCCTTAAGTTTTGTCCATTATTGTATTTACACTATATTCCCTTTCGCAAATGCAACAGGCTAATATATAGGTTGTTAGAACATATGTTTACCTAAAATAATATTTATCTATATGTATTTCATATAAAAACATTCATATATAATAATATTGTATAAGTATATTTCGAATATCCTTCAAAATATATATTTGTAAACAGAATATCCCGCCCAAGCTCTAGATTAAATTTGAAGGAAATTTATTAAAATCTTCATTGAGACTCAACTGTCAAAATTTCCGCAAATATGTGCTCAGAGCTGGGAAGATGAAATTCTCAGGGAGGAGAAATATTAAATTTATGATGGTTTCGATATATTTATATATATTTATATATACACTTTATAGCCAGCTTCTATATAAACTTTTGAATATTTGATGAAGAAAGGTTAAACGATATCTTTTATCTTTCTCTATACCCCACTTTATTGTTTGAATATTGATTTCTAAACTTTAATATTTATAAGTGTTTTATATACAATGCTCATAAATATTTATTATATATATTTTGAGAGAAATACGTAAATATTAAAATTTTATATGTACTGGATGATCCAAAAGTCCCGCACTATTTAAAAAATTAATAACTCCGCGAATATTTGCGCTAGAGCAATGCGGTAAACACCATTGTATTCAGGATGCAATGGGTTATTTTTATGGAAAATAATGAAAAATTCAAATTCGTTGGAGTATTAATATATACAGTTATCAGAGTCATCAATTTCACCGTCAAATGTCACCGTTTGCCTTTGTGAATGGAATAAATACCCAAATATGGCAAATTTCTCATAACCATCGGTTTTTTCAGTGGAAGAATGCTCGCCTGCCACGCGGGCGGCCCGGGTTCGATTCCCGGCCGATGCATTTTTTTTTTTAGAATTTTTAAAACTCATTTATATATTATACAAGAATGACATCCACGGCGCCAATTTATAATTGTAACGAATAGTATTTGAATAAAAGCATTTAATCGGGTAAAACCCGGGCGTTGCCCGGGTCATTCGGCTAGTTTGTTGTATATGTGTCTTTGTTACTTAAATATATCAAATAAAAATATTTATCATTTATTTTATATTTCGGCTTATTTTTTTTTTATAATGGTCATTCAAGAACATTCATTTTTGATAACTCTTTTACTCTATATATATTTTTGATAACTCTATTTAATTATATATATGTGAGTAAAATATATTCTCTAAATAATTGATAATATTATCATATATAAAAATATAAACTATTTTTTAACTAAAGCAATTATCTTCTGCTCTTACTGCAATGATAAAAATAATGGGAGGGCTTGGCTCATTAGTGGTAAACCCCCTCAGTGGTTTCACCAGTTTAATCTACCATACCATTTTAATATTGTATTTGGTTATTTTTCTTTTATAGTGATACTGATGCTAAACTTTTGGAAAGGGAATTTTAAATGAATTATAGATATAGGCTTTGAATATAGTATCAATACATACAATTACAAATATATAATATGCTTCGAGCAATGGTTTTCCTCCATATAACGTAAAAATGAGTAAAGTGAGTTTCAAATGAAAACAAGATATATAACCTCGTTTTTAATCTTTTAAACCTGTATTATGCAATATCCCTAACTATATAATGTGAAGATCTATTGAATTAATAAATGTTTAGCCATTCTATGTCTTCAACGTATTCATAATGTGTCACCAAGATCTTTCCCATATGTAAATATATTAGTGAAATACTTTTAGGAAAAAGGTAATATAAGTTTATAGCATCTATATTCCTATGTTTACATATTACACATATGATCAAAATGCATATTTAGGATATAATCATTATTATTATCAATTGATATTTCTAAATGCTGTAGGTTTTTCTTCTTCAGAGAATTTTGAATGCTTGTGGCTAACGTTCTTTCACGTGCTCAATATCAAGTAATGTGTTGTGCTGGGGTTCAATATATTCAAAATTAATGATGAATTTATAAATATTTTAAACATATTTATATATATATATGTAGATATGTGTCTACACACATATGTACTTTCGTATATAAACAAAGTTATATACGATATACCTATGTAAGTAAGTCACTAACCTCTCCTCATAAAGCCAATATAGGATCCAAAAAGAGCAGAAAAAAAAAACACCAAAATCGTTCACTCATTAAATCGGCAGCCGAACAGATGCTCCTTCTAATTGAAAGAGCTCTGGTTCGGAAAACCTCATTAGAAATGGACTGGCAACTCTGATATTACTCCATCATTACAGAAATCTCTCTGAACGCGAGTTGAAAATTTATTAAAATTTGACCAATTTGTATCTCTGAGTTTGAACTCAAATATATTATCTATATGCCTAATATAATTGAACGAATATATGCATATATTATCGAGAAATTATATAATATTAAATTAAATGGCTCGTATAATGTAACCTATGGCAACCTATTATAATTTATCCGGTAATTATTGATTGATATTAAATTTAACTCGATATTAATAAGATTTTTCGATATATATCCACAAACAAAAGTAAAATATCTTAATAGATTTATATTTGATTAATCTAATTGATACAGGTAATTATAATTCTAATAAAATATCTCAATTTTAATGACCGTAAATTCACAAAACATGGTTTATATGGGGAATCTTATGGCAGGGTAATAATTTCTTGAAATTAAAAAGCATTTTTAAAAATAATATAAAACAATTTTCGAAAAAAGTATATATATTTGTATACACACATTGATATTGATATATATAATTATAAAAGAGGTTATAATTAGAATAAGTTTTAAAGTAGGAAAATAAACGAATATTTGAACTTCTTCCTACCTTGATGTCTGAACAATCGCTGAAAAATTGTCACAACTTCCAACAGTTCCCAAGTTGAAATCTTGCCATTGTCCAAACATGGTATCTATATAGATAATAGGAGAAATTATGTAGTATAATATAATATTAATGAAAACATGCGTTAAAAATCAATTACTAAATTTATAACTGTATTTTATAACCTTTCTTACATTTATTTCTTTAATATCGATATACACTTAAATATATATATATATAAATTAAGAAAAAAGGGGACATCTCATGATAGTGAAACTAAAATTTATCAGAATATGCCTCCTTTTTTTCTCAATTTATCCATATGATACAATAAAAAATTCACTTTTGTAATATTTTTCACATTAATTATATGATATATATATATATATATGGCAATATAGTGGTAAATGTGGTGAGGAGAGAAATAATCACACGACGAGTTGTTAGAGCAATCATCCAGGCAGCCAGCCGAGAGAGAGCGAGCGAGACGTTATCAGCTGAACGACTGTTTTTCCTGTGTACACAACCGGGGGGCTAACCAGGATAGTCGCCAGGTGGTGACGGCTCCCCCCCTCAGGAATGTGGCCAAAAATGGTCGTAAGTTAGTTATCTAAAGTGTCTCGCTTTTAGCTGCCCAGCTCTCTCTCGTTGGCTGTTGGTTTGTTTTATTAATCCTGAAAGAGCATATATTATGACATATATCTATCTAGATAATACCGTAACAGAGTTTTCCATTGTAAAGTCCTGAGCTATCTCCTCCGAAGATTCTGAACTACACATAACGATCTATATACCAAAATTTTCGTTATTTTTTTCTTCATATGATAGGCCTGTTTTTATTTTCCTAATGTTAACAGTTATTTTTATTTTTTAATTTAATCTATTTTACAATCGTAGATTTTTTGCATTTATCATCATCAATTTTTTTGTTTTGAAATGCGTTCTTTTGTCTTATTACTACAACCAATCGTGATGAAACTTTGGGAAGATGTTTATTATACTACCGGGATGGTTTCTGGCTAATTACTCTTTAGAAATAACCTTTCGTTGCATTTTTATTTACGATAAAACGTAGATTCACTCGCAATCAGCGCCCCCTCGCGGCAGACGTATGGCCTTAAATAGCCTCGCATGATCTTATTTGTAACGTCAAGCTTAGCCTATACGTTAGGTACGCAGCTTCGTACCCCCGCAACTTAGGTTCGAGGCTCAGCGTGGGTGTTTTTTTTTTGTTTTTCATTTCTTTTATATTATTGTAGCAAATTATTAAAAATATTATTTTATTTAAAATGTAGGCTTTTTAAAATAAAAATTAACATACACAATTTTTTAATAATATTTGTAACAAACCTAGGTTCGAGGCTCAGCGTGGGTGTCTTTTTTTATTTTCGTTTCTTTTATATTATTGTAGAAAGGTCTGTTTTTACAGCATTATTATATTTTGATTGGTTTATTTTAAATATGTTTGTTATGAAGGCTCTATGTAATACTATTTAGAGCACATTTTACATTTTAAACACCTAAGCCCCCCTCTTTTTAATATTGTAGCAAAGTATTAAAAGTATTATTTTATTTTAGATGTTTGCCATGAAACTTTGGGAAGTTGTTTAGTATACTATCAGGACGATTTCTGGCGAATTATTTTAGAATAATATTTATAACAATAATTATAGCGAAATTAAGACATAGTTATTATATTCTGTGTTTGTGCATATATTAATATTTAACAGAAAATGTTAGAACGTTCTATTAGAATATCTCGAAAACAAAAAACAATACATATAAACGAGTTCACTGACATTTATTAATGCAGTGATTATAATCAATGATTACAATGAAGGGCTATATTATCGATATATATAAAAAATCTCTTTCAAATTTTAACGTAACGTTCCATTCTCAATCCCGTAGGGCTTTAGATCGGCTAAAACATTTTTATCTTTATAAGTGAATATTAACTTTACTGTACTGAATAGTTTAGTATAATGTTAATTTAACATATTACAATTTAGCCACAGCAACGCGTGGCCGGGTTCGCTATTTATAATATATATTTCTGATTCATTTGATTATGATTATAATTTGTAAGTACTTTGTTATAGTTTTTCATTTAAATAGAGCTCAATTTTTGTGTATGTTTTCTATTTGCAGTATCTTTCCTAATGTCTTTGGCAACGTTTTTTTTTCTCATAAATAGGCTGAGGTTATATTATTTTTCGAATTGTAGATTGAATTATTACTTTTATTCTATAATAATTATCTTTTATAAGTGTTTTTTATAGTTTTTCATTTGAATTTAGCACAATTTTTGTATCTGGTTATCTTTTTTGGCATCTTTTCATCTCTCTTTGGCATCTTTTTTTTTCTCATTAATAAGACCTAATCCAAATAATTTAATAGTGTGTGACGTTTCAGCAACAGCATCAGACAAAAGAATAAATGAACTAAAGAATAAAATCTCATTTTTTCTTTTGTCTGATGATGGTGACATTTGGATTAGGTCTTATTTTTTTTTATTAATTTGTTATAGTTTTTCATTTGAATTTAGCTCCATTTTTGTGTCTTATTTAATAAATGAACTAAAGAATAAGATCTCATTTATTCTTTTGTCTGATTTTTGTGTCTGATTTTCTTTTTTACAGTATCTTTCATAATGCCTGATTTGATTACTTGATCTGTTATAGTTTTTCATTTAAATTTAGCTCCATTTTTGTGTCTGTCGTTTTTTTTTCTTCTCATAAATAGGCTGATGCTGTATTTGTGTACTCAATTGTTGCTTTTTGTGTCTGGTTTCTTTTTTGCAGTATTTTTTTGGAATCCTTTTTTTTCCATCAATTGTTTCCTCACATGCTTGGAATTTTCTTTTTATGCTTGTCCTGGCTTTCAGTTTTATAGTTTTCCTCTGCTTGGTTCTTATTTTACCTTTTTTTTTCAGCGTCTTCTGTCATGCCTCGAAAAGGCCGTGGAAGACTCACTCCCCTAACAGCTAGGCGTGCTAATATGACTCGCCGCAGACACAAAACCCCAATTGCTATTTCTCTTGTTTAC